AAACATTTTCTGAGAGAGAGGTAGGAAGTAGGGTTGAGTATTTGTTATAGAAACTGTAAGGGAATGTTTAAAAGGGGCAGAGGAAAAGATTTCTGACCTATGCTGAGGTCCCAACTAAGGTTGAAGATTTTCCTAAATTATAGTAATACAGAGTTTTATAACTGTATTTTCAGGGAATACCAAGAAATATAGAGTAGCAAATACCAATGATTAAAAAGCTGTAGGTTCGGGGAAATTATGAATAACTGTGGGAGAAAGACAAATAGTGACAGAGTTAGGTGTGTTAGCAATTAGTTATATTAAGACAAAGCCTTGGCTAGATGCTCACCAATTTCATTTTCTCTTCTTAGACACAAAGGAAGTCTACAATTCTCAGCCATTCTGGAAATTAGCTAATGGTCATATAGCTGGGTTCTAGCCAATAAAACAGATGCAAGTGACATAATCCGCTTTTGGCCTGGCTCTTAAAAATGTCTTTAGCAGGCTAGGCACGATGGCTCATGCTTGTAATCTCAGCACTTTGGAAGGCTGAGGAGGGCGGATCACCTGAGGTCAGGAGTTCCAGACCAGCCTGGCAAACATGGTGAAACTCTTTCTTTACTAAAAATATAAAAATTAGCTGGGCATGGTGGTGGGTGCCTATAATCTCAGCTACTTGGGAGGCTGGGTGGGAGAACTGCTTAAACCTTGGAGGCAGAAGTTGCAGTGAGCTGAGATTGTGCTATTGCACTCCAGCCTGGGCAATGAGGATAAAACTCCGTCTCAAAAAAAAAAAAAAGTCTTTGGCAAAACTGACTTTCCATTTTCTCTTCTGCAAAGTACCAGAGGTTGTTTATTTAGAATGGAAGCCTTCTGGATTCTAAAATTACTGCCAAAGAGAGGTGATCAACCTACATTTGACTTTGAGTGGGGAAGAAAAAGCCTTTTATTGTATCAAGCCACCAAGTTATTGGAATTGTCTAATATAGTAGCTAGTATGAATTAACTTTCCTAGCATATATATCACAGGGTACAAAGGATGAATGTGAAATCAAGAAGGGACACATAATTGAGAGGAAAGAATAGCTCTAGGAATATGAGGTTTAAATGAGGAAGAAGAATAGGCTTTGAGGGAATAGGAGGCCTGGAGAATAGGTGTTTGATGTCAGACAGCAGTATATTGAAATGCCACATGTTGGCATTAGAGTGATTTCAAGGTCTGGCCATAGAACTGAATATTGGAGGGAAAGTCTAGTGTAGGTTATTAGCATTGAGAAGGCCCCTGAAAACTAAATCGTCCAAATATAACCATGCAGTTTCCAAAGTCAGTTTCCTGGTTTTGATAGTTATACTATGTTGATGCAAGATGTTACCTATGTAGGGGAGGCTGTGTTGAATGTACACAGGACCTCCCTGTACATTTCTTCATAGTTTCCTGTGAATCTATAATTATTTCAGAATAAAAATTTAAAAAAATTACCATTTATTCACATTATAAATTGTTGTGTAATTTAGGAAAAGCTTAGGAAGATACACACCTAATTAATAATAGATTTTAGTTCTGAGAGGTGTGATAGATTGGCATGGGTGAGGGAAAATGAATGCTTTCTACTTTATAAAATTGTACTCACAGTATATGTCACTTTTGCAATTTCAAAATGAAAGGATAATTTAAAATATGTATTTAAACCTATAATTATTTCCTAGTTAACTTTCCCCATTGTTTTAATAATGAGTACTCTCCTGTTAGAAGCTTTCTGTATTCATCTATATTTTTAAATAGTTGTTTAAACCTTAGTTTTTTTTTAAAAATAAACCTTTAACTAGTTAATTCATTGTGATTTTTTTCATTGTATGACATGGGGTTTTTACCTAATTTAAAATCATTTAAAAATAGTTAACCGATGCTTTGGCATCATTTGGGCTTCATATTTATTTTGATGGCGCATTTATTGTATATTAGGTTCTGATATATACTAGAGTTTGTTTTTGCCTAAACTGTTCCATTTCTGTTTACATGGTTTTGATTATTGTAGATGTATAATTTTCCTATGTGTTATGGAAAATTCTTTATTATACATTATTTTTAGAATCTTCTTCTTGGGTGCTATAATCCATTTATCTTCCAGATTAAGTTAGGATCTCTTTTTTATTTTACTAGAGTGGATTAAATTAAAATATTAATTGTGGTGAATTTATTCTGTCTTACTTAGGAACTCGAAATATCTATACAGTTTTTTAAAACTGCTTTTGTGTCTTTAAGTTATGTTTCACTTTTCTTTATATCATACTTTATTTATTTATTTATTTATTTATTTATTTATTTATTTATTTATTTTTGAGACAGAGTTTTGCTCTTGTTACCCAGGCTGGAGTGCAATGGCACGATCTCGGCTCACCGCAACCTCCGTCTCCTGGGTTCAGGCAATTCTCCTGCCTCAGGCTCCCGAGTAACTGGGATTACAGGCATGCGTTAGACGGGGTTTCACCATGTTGACCAGGATGGTCACGATCTTTTGACCTCATGATCCACCCGCCTCGGCCTCCCAAAGTGCTGGGATTACAGGCTTGAGCCACCACGCCTGGCCATATATTATACTTTAAATTGTAAGGTTGCTCCTTAGTATTTGTTTTGGGCTATAATTATCAATGATGATCAGGATTTATCTTCCATTTTCTTTTTCTAAGCTGGTTATTGTTAACATGTAAAACTTTATTCTTATGGTCTTATTTTTCATCCAATCATTTTGAAAGCTGTGTAATTTGTTGGATTCATGGTCATTGCTTTATTTTGTTTTAATTCTCTGTTTTCAGTAGATATACAATGATTATTAATGTAGGCAATGATGGCCACTCTTGTCACTGATTTCAGAGAGAATGCATATAGTGTCTACAGTTGAGATTATTGCTGAATGTTGACTTTAGATGTTTCTTATCAAGTAGTTGCTATACTTCCTTTTTTTATTTAAAAAAATTAAGAATTGCTATTGAGTTTTTCCAAATGCCCTCCAGGCCTATTAACATGAGCGTGCCATTTCTTTCTATCAACCTATGTGGACAGTTACTTATTTTGTCTTGATTTAAATTTTACTTTTACGTAAACTTTGAGTTATAATTTATGTATAATAAAATGCATCATTTAAATAAAAACATCACAGACTTTGATACATTTTGACTGATGTATTTCTCTGTAAAAGCCCAGCTGCAATATAGATTCTTTATGCCCTCCTGCAGAAAATCTCTCCCTTTGCTCCAGGCTCCAGTCAGTCACTGTTTTGCTTTTTCAGAATAGACTAATTTACATTTTCTAGAATTTTATATACATGGAATCAAAGCAACTGTTGTCTTTAGTTTCTTAGCAGAATGTCTTGGTTCACTCTTGCTGCTATAACAAAATAACTTATATTGGGTAATTTATAAACAACAGAAATTTATTTCTTACAGTTCAGGAGCCAGGAAGTCCAAGATCAAGGCATCAGCAGATCTGATGTCTGGTAAGGGCTGGTTTTCTTCTTCAAAGATGGCACCTTGTTGCTGCATCTTCACGTGGTGGAAGGAGTCAAAGATTTCTTGAGCTTCTTTGGTAACAGCACTAATTTCATTCATGAAGGAAGAGCCCTCATGGTCTAGTCACCTCCTAAAGGGCCCTCGTCTCAGTTCCTCACAATGGGGATGAGGTTTAATATGCATTTTAAAGGGTCACAGACATTCCGATCATAGCAAGATTGATTTGCGTTGTTTCATACATCAGTACCCTATTCCATTTTCTTGCTGAGTAGTATTTCACAGTGTGGATATGCCACATATTTTGTTTCTTTACTCATTTGTTTGTAGATATGTAGATTTTTTTTCAAGGTTGTATCTGTTATGAATAAAACTGCTGTAAGCATTCATATGCACGTCTTTTTGTTGATGTGCTATTTCCTTTTGGTAAAAACTTATGAATATTCATAAGTGTATGTTTAACACTCAAATAAAGCTGCACATTTTTTCTATGTAGTTTTACTATTTTACATTCCCATCAACAATATATGAAAATTCTAGTTACTCTACTTCCTCTCCAACAATTTATATTGACAACCTTTAAAATTTTAGCCATTATAGTGAATGTATTGTGGAATCATTATAGTTTTAATTTGCATTTCCCTGAGCATCTTTTCATGTGGCCACTAATAGATTTAACAAACCATCTTGACATTCTTAGGATATGCTCTCCTTGGTTGTGATGAATTTAATATGACCAACTTCTGAGAGTGTCACCCCAGATACTCTCAGAAGTTGGTCACAATAAATTCATCACAAACATTCCGTTCATACCAAAAGGTATATAATATGGAATAATTATACACATATATCATAGCAAACATATAAAATATAGGTATTGATTTGAAACTATGTATTATTCTGTATTATTTACTTTTCTATTACATACATGTAAGAGATGTAGATATAAATACATGTATATTATTTAAAAACAATAGGACTAGTTAATGGTTGAAATTAGTAATTAATGATAGGACTAATTAAACAAATGATATATACAACAAAAATATAATATTTTTTAATGTTTCTGTTAGAGATTTTAACTCTTTGGATATTCTACTTTTGTAAGTTGTGTTATTGTATATTCTTAAGCTAAGTAAATAAAATACCTTTAAAAATTGAATGTAAATAAAATGGGATTAGCTAACCAAACATGTAAAATGTAATAAGATTAACAATGACATGTTTCTTTCTGTTCCATGATATACCAGTACGATGTTTTTGATATTTCTGTTTTCTTTTCAATATTTCTCTGAAATACCAGCTGCTTTCCAGATACTCTTCTCTTCTTTTATGTAGTGGTAGAACTCAATAAACCAAAATATAAAATTTATTTTTACTTGCATCTCTGCTCCTTTAAGCCCACATTATGCTGTTTGCTAGTGGCAGTTAAATGAAACAACATCAAGCTAAATATTCTCTCAATAAAAGTGTTTTAGCATGGAATTCTTAGAATTTTACTCTAAAAACATCCATTTCGTATCTACAGGTGTATTTTGGTAGCTGTTTGTCAATCAAGTTCCTTTCACCTGTAAATCCATCAGGTAGGCTCTCCATGTCTAAAATTTCCATCATGTTTAGACACTCCAAAACACATTGGATATCATAATCATAAGTTAAGCCTCTTTTTGTTGGGGAAAATGGTTACGAAGCATAGAAGTAATTTGAACGTGTGAAATTGAAGTTGGACTTACTGTAAGTTACCATTTTCGTACAGAAATAAGAAAGCCCTGTTTAATGTGGTTTCCCTTTTCTAGTGACTTTGTTTTTTTACTTCTGAAACAGTGTTATTTTAAAAAAATGACCTTTTTTTTTTGCATTGTATGTGTTTTTGTTGCAACCTCCACATAACATTCAACATCTCAAATGCAGTCAGTACATGCTTTCCTAGGTTCCTTATGGTCTCTTCAAAGACCACCAAACAGTTTTGGAGAAACAGTGTATACATTTCTGTTTTCATACTTTTCTCCATTCTCATCCTCAATGCATTGGCAAATTAGAGAAGGACACTCTTTTTGTCCTACACTTTACAAATATGATTTTAGGGCATGCCAACATTTTAACATCTATGGCAGGCAAAAATTATAGTCATCTTGTAGGCACATATCTAGAGAGGCTGTCTCCTTCCATTTCTCTAAAGTAAAAAAAAATCTTATTAAGCGTTTCTGTACATTTTGAGGAAATTGAAAAGTGACCAACAACTTTCATTATGAAAAGGAAGCAAATCACAATCCTTTGAAGCAGTGTTGCTTACAAGGTATGCCAAACATTCAGCAAGACCTTTGATTTTCTTTGGTAGGAAGTTTATAAGTTGAATGGAATTTGCATATATATATGCAAATACAGATATGCAAATATATATATACTGTCCGCTGAATATACAAGATGAGTATCTTGATCCATTTTCTGTTGCATGTAACAGAATACATATAAGTGGTAATTTATTACCCACTTGTATGTATTCTGTTACATGCAACAGAAAACAGATCAAAAATAAATTTTATTTCTTATCATTTTGGAGGCTGTGAAGTCCAAGGTCAATGGGGTGCATCTGGTGAAGACATTCTTCCTGGTGGGGACTCTGTAGAGTCCTGAGGTGGTACAAGCCATCACATAATGAGGGGGCAAGGTGGGCTAACATGCTAGTTTAAGTCCCTCTTCCTCTTCTTAAAAAGCCATGAGTTCTCCTTCCATGGTAACGCATCAGGCCGTGAACTCATTCATCCATTAGTCCACTCATGTGAGTAAAGCTCTTATGATCCAATCACTGCTTAAAGACCCCACTTGTTAATACTGTCATGTGAGTAAATTTCAATGTGAGTTTTGGAGGGGACAGATATTCAAACCATATGAATGAGCAAAGTTTACTTTGTATTTAGACAGGACTCAACAATATTTTATTTAGTATACTTTGTAGTTTCATTAAAATCTTTATAGAAATCAAGATGGGCCAGGCATGGTGGCTCATGCCTGTAATCCCAGCACTTTGGGAGGCCAAGCAGGTGGATCATTTGAGGTCAGGAGTTTGAGACCATCTTGGCCAACATGGTGAAATGCTGCCTCTACTAAAAATACAAAAATTAGTTGGGTGTGATGGCACACATCTGTAATCCCAGCTGCTTGGGAGGCTAAGGAAAGAGAATCACTTGAACCTGATAGGTGGAGGTAGCCCTGAGCCAAGATGTTACCACTGCACTCCAGCCTGGGTGACAGAGCAAGACTCCATCTCAAAAGAAAAAAATAGAAAGAAAAAGAAAAGAAAAAAAAAGAAATCAAGACTTGAAGCTCCATTTTTCAAATCCAAGTACCTAACAGCCAGGGGTAACATTTTGTTGTTCTTGTTGCTGTGATGTCTTATGTGATATACTATAGAAAGAAGAATCCTTGGTAAGAATCAGACTTGCACTGTCAGAGGCAACACATCTGTTTTCCAAATTTCCTTTTTGTTTGCCCAATAGGACATTTTAGTTACAACTTCTGAATCAGGAAATTCACTCACTCAGTTTTATATAGAGGAATTGAAGGTAAGATAACGTATGCTGATTCATGTAGTATGCTGAAGCTAATTCATTGGCCACTTTACAATATTCATAATTCTGAAAAATATGTAAATGAAGAACATCACTGCGTGTTTGTAGCTGGCTACCTTGCCTTGATAACCATTTTGGATTCATATCCCTGGCATTTGGTTTGTGTGAACCGAGCTCCAGAGGAATCAGCCAGGGATTACTCTCTTCCCAGATCACCACATGCCATCAGCTATCCCAAAGAGTTTTAAAAGTGTTAGAACAATTAAATTGTTTGAGTGCATTCGCTACTTAGGTTTTCTAACAAATGATGTTCTAATGTAATAATTCAGTTTTGTTCTGTTTTCATCTTTTTTTAGCCTACTCTGTAAGTCTTAGACTGAAAATTATGTAGTCTACAATGCAAATTATATTTTTAAGGCTTTGTGCATTCTTATATTAATTTTGTATATTTTAATGCTTTGTTATAAGGTCTTAAAGTCAATAAATGTCAGGTCTTAATACATAGTTATCTTTCAATCAATTAAACAGTGAATGTCTTTGCAATATAACTTTTTTTAAAAAACATTTATTTTGTTACACTTTAGGTTCTGGGTTACATGTGCAAAACATGCAGGATTGTTGCATAGGTACATACATGGCAATGTGGTTTGTTGCCTCCATCCCCCTGTCACCTATATCTGGCATTTCTCCCCATGTTATCCCTCCCCAACTCCCCACCCCCTGCTGTCCCACTCCTAGCACCCCCCAGTAGACCCCAGTATGTGATGCTCCCCTCCCTGTGTCCATGTGTTCTCACTGTTAAACACCCACCTATGAGTGAGAACATGCAGTGTTTGATTTTCTGTTCTTGTGTCAGTTTGCTGAGAATGATGGTTTCCAGATTCATTCATGCCCCTACAAAGGACACGAACTCATCATTTTTTATGGCTACATAGTACTCCATGGTGTATATGTACCACATTTTCCTTGCCCAGTGTATCATCAATGTGCATTTGGGTTGGTTCCAGGTCTTTGCTATTGTAAACAGTGTCACAATGAACATATATGTTTGTGTCTTTATAATAGAACGATTTATAATCCTTTGGATATATACCCAGTAGTGGGATTGCTGGGTCAAATCGCCACACTGTCTTCCACAATGGTTGAACCAATTTACACTCCCACCAACAGTGTAAAAGTGTTCCTTTTTCTCCACATCCTCTCCAGTATCTGTTGTCACCAGATTTTTTAATGATCGCATTCTAACTGGCATGAGATGGTATCTCAATGTGGTTTTGATTTGCATTTCTCTAATGACCAGTGATGATGAGCATTTTTTCATATGTTTGTTGGCCTCATAAATGTCTTCTTTTGAGAACTGTCTGTTACGTCCTTTGCCCACTTTTGAATGTTTTTTTTTTTTTTTCTTGTAAATCTGTTTTAGTTCTCTGTAGATTCTGGATATTAGCCCTTTGTTAGATGGGTAGATTGCAAAATTTTTTTCCCATTCTGTTGGTTGCCAATTCACTCTAATGATTGTTTCTTTTGCTGTACAGAAGCTCTGGAGTTTAATTAGATCTCATTTATATATTTTTGCCTTTTGATGCCAATGCTTTTGGTGCTTTAGTCATGAAGTCCTTGCCTATCCCTATGTCCTGAATGGTTTTGCCTAGGTTTTCTTTTAGGGTTTTTATGGTGTTAGACCTTATGTTTAAGTCTTTAATCCATCTGGAGTTAATTTTAGTGTAAGGTGTCAGGAAGGGGTCCAGTTTCTGCTTTCTGCACATGGCTAGCCAGTTTTCCCAACACCATTTATTAAACAGGGACTAATTTCCCCATTGCTTGTTCTTGTCAGGGTTGTCAAAGATCAGATGGTTGTAGATGTGTGGCATTGCCTCCAAGGCCTCTGTTCTGTTCCGTTGGTCTATATCTCTGTTTTGATACCAGTACCATGTTGTTTTGATTAGCGTAGCCTTGTAGTACAGTTTGGAGTCAGGTAGCATGATGCCCCCAGCTTTGTTCTTTTTGCTTAGAATTGTCTTGGCTATGCGGGCTCTCTTTTGGTTCCACATGAAGTTAAACCGGTTTTTTTCCAATTCTGTGAAGAGGGTCATAGGTAGCTTGATGGGGATAGCATTGAATCTGTAAGGCCATTTTTCACAATATTGATTCTTCCTAACCATGAGCATGGAATGTTTTTCCATCTGTTTGTGTCCTCTCTTATTTCCTTGAGCAGTGGTTTGCAGTTCTCCTTGAAGAGGTCCTTTACATCCCTTGTTAGTTGTATTCCTAGGTATTTTATTCTCTTTGTAGCAATTGTGAATGGCAGTTCATTCTTGATTTGGCTCTCTTTAAGTCTGTTATTGATGTTTGGGAATCCTTGTGATTTCTACACATTGATTTTGTACCCTGAGACTTTGCTGAAGTTGCTTATAAGTTTAAGGAAATTTTGGGCTGAGATGATGGGGTCTTCTAAATATACAATCGTGTTCTGCAAATAGAGACAATTTGACTTCCTCCTTTCCAAATTGAATACCCTTTATTGCTTTTTCTTGCCTAATTGCTCTGGCTAGAACTTCCAATACTATATTGAATAGGAGTGGTGAGAGAGGGCATCCTTGTGTAGTGCCAGATTTCAAAAGGAATGCTTCCAGTTTTTGCTCATTCAGTGTGATGTTGGCTGTGGGTTTGTCATAAATAGCTTTTATCATTTTGAGGTACATTCTGTCAAACCTAGTTTATTGAGAGTTAAAGATACCCGCCAGATGTCAGCCTGAGCTCTATTTATGATGTGACTCAGATGTCAGCCTCACCTCTTTATGAAGTGACTCTTTGGATATATGGGGGTCAGGGAGCTGCTTTAGAGACAGTCTGTCCGTTATAGGAGCTGAAGTGCTGAGCTGTGAGCCCTGTTGTTTTGTTTAGACTGCTGGGCAGGTAAGTTTACATCTGCTGCAGCAGAACTCATAACTGCCTTTTTTTCCTAGGTGCTCTATCCTGGGAAGGTGGGGCTGTATTTATAAGTTTCTGACATA